ATGCCTGGAACCCCACCAGTGGCTTTTCACTTTTTACTCCAAACCAGATCTGTATTCCTCTATTGGTATCACACCTTCATAATTGTTGTTCTTGTCATAAAAAGAGAAAATAACCCACAAAGTATACAGCCTTTTTCTTATCTTATAAACATGCTACAAAAGTAATGAGAATGAATTTGGGCCTTTTTCTTATCTTATAAACATGCTACGAAAGTAATGAGAATGAATTTGGGGCTGTGATCATAACTGTTAAGGAACATGACCCGTGTTTGCAACACCACCAGCCGGGAGCCCTTATTTTCACAGGGTGTTTTGTTTCTTCCTTTAAAATTTTTTTTCTAACACATTGAAAACTTCAGACCTATGCTCACTGGCAGATTATTTGGAGCAAAGGGAAGGAGGCAGAACAGCTAACCAGACACATCAGAAAGAAAAATGGGACCTTGAAAACTCTGAGCCTGATGGTTGGCTTTAGACCAGACATATCCCCTGGGTAAAGTCAAACCAAACCAGTAACCTCTTTCTTAAAAGGCACCACCAGGCAGGGTGAGTGCAAGAGGGTTACAGTCTCACGCAAGTGACACTTAAAAGTCAAAGCCATGAAGGTGCCCTGTCCATAAATCCCACAGAGCCTACGGATGAGAGAACAGACAGAGGCACCAAAGGAACAAACTGACCTATTAATAAGGACTTCTTTTACTCATTTTACAAACTTATATCCAGATTTAACCTGGGATGTTAGAATAGGTCAATAGAAGAAAGGCAGTATGCAAACACATTTGTAGAAACTTTGGTTTATTTCTACTCTGGGAGACAGCTCTTCAGATGCGTGATTTCTGACAAGGGTGGTCAGCTATCCACAATAACAATTACATAACAGCTCAACTTCCTCATCAATAAAATGTGGATAATTAACTGCATCATAAATTGTTCTGAGAATTCAATGAGATAATACATGAGAGCACTTAGAACAGTGTCTGGTACATAGTAAGCTATCAGTAATATGTAACGCCACATGACAGTTCAACATATGTTATCCCATTTGGTCCTAAGAACAACTAACTATGTGAGGCAGGTTTTATTATTCTCATGGGACACTGGGTCACAGATAAGAGGACTTATCCAGAGTCACACAGCTACTGACAAGTATCTGATTGCCAGAACTATCACTCCAGAATCCTGGCTGGACCAGAGAAGTTTGCTTTAGCAGGAGTTTGAGCAAGCTCCCTTTCTAGCTCAGCTGTGCTGTGTGCCTGCAGTCAGGGATTCACAGAGTCTCCAAGGCCTTTTTAATAAATAAGGAGGCCAGGCCGGCGCGGTGGCTCACACCTATAATCCTAGCACTCTGGGAGGCCGAGGCGGGCGGATTGCTCAAGGTCAGAGTTCGAAACCAGCCCGAGCAAGAGCAAGACCCCGTCTCTACTAAAAAATAGAAAGAAATTAATTGGCCAACTAAAAATATGTAGAAAAAATTAGCCGGGCATGGTGGTGCATGCCTGTAGTCCCAGCTACTCAGGAGGCTGAGGCAGCAGGATTGCTTGAGCCCAGGAGTTTGAGGTTGCTGTGAGCTAGGCTGACGCCAGGGCGCTCACTCTAGCCTGGACAACAAAGTAAGACTCTGTCTCAAAAAAAACAAAAACAAACAAGGAGGCTGGAAAACAGGTTTGATGTGAAAGTCGCATGAAACCCTACCAGGACAGTTATCACATCTCACCCTAGAAGCCCAAGTATGGCCTCGAGTAGCAGCACGAAATGACATTTCCAAAATTCTTATTTTCTATGTAACAATAATTTTAAAAAACTTCTCAGCTAATGATCTAAAGGTCCTCTAGTTACCTTAATTAATAAAATATAATAGCTACCAATTAGTAAGCATTGTGTTAAATCCTTTACAAACATCTCATATAATAATCCTTACAATTATCCCGAGGGAGTGGGGGAAGTATCCTTATCCCTATTTAACAAACAGGCAAAGAAACTGAGACTCAGAGAGGCTGAAGGACATAAAGCTAGTAAGTAGCGGAGACTGAGTTTGAACCCAAGTCCCCAGATAAATTGCCATGCCCTATCTTTGTCAATTAACCCCTTATTCCCTCTCCTCTCATTCTTGGGTACCCACAGGGCATAGGTCTGGAATACAAACCTCTTTTACTTCCACCAGAGAAAGTACAAACCCTAGGGAAGAACCTTGTGCTTTTGCAAACCAAGACTGCAAAGGCTGCCAGGGTTTTTCTCCTCCTGATCTTGCCTGATTCAGAACAAACCATCAAAGTATCCCTCTTTTAGCCAGGGTTAGCTTTCCTGCCACCTATCCCAGGAAAAGGCTCCCTGCCGCAGCTGCTGCTGAGGAATACAGTGACCACTGTCAACCCTGTGCCTCTTTTAAGAGGCAGGGGAGAAGACAAGCCAGGAGCTGGTGCAGAGACAGACTGCCCCTTTGCCCAGGTAGCAGGGTGAGTCAGGCCCCAGGACAGAGGTCTCAGCTGGTGGCTGGACTCACCACAGCCTGCTCATTAGGAGCAGACATTAGGAACAAGACAAAGAGAGCCTCTAAACTAGCCCTGTTCAGTCCTCTGTCCCTACCACCCATGGTGACCCTGACCCCGTCACCCCACAATCCCACAGCCTCTCTGACAACGGGCCTCAATTTCCTCACAATCCCTGATGCCCCTCCCACTCAACTCACAGTGCCCACCTACTCTTTCCAGAATCACCTTGGGTAGCTGCACCCTAGGCAGTGACTGGGCCATAAATGAATATTCAGCCATGGCCAGCAGGCCAAAAGGCAGGCAGACATTAGATGGCAGGCTTGGGCAGACTTTCCATAATAGGAAAAACTTGTTCCTGAACAGGGCCATCTCCAAACCCTCAACATGCAGAGTGCCAGCAGCTCGGAGCAGGGGTGGAGAGGATGGCAGTCTAAAAGCAAGACCTGAGTGTAGTGGGGGAGGGATCCCACTGAGTGTACACACAACAAACCCAGGTGGCAGGACAGGTGGCATGGATTCCCCAATAACCCCAGGTAACAGAATCAGCAGCCTCTCTGAAATCAAACCCTCCTTCACTCATTTCCTCCCCTTCCTCCCCTTCCGTTGGGAGGCTGGGGTGAAGTGGGGACTGTGTGTCCCTGGGCAGCCATGGGGCAGCCCAGCCCATGGAGACCAAAGCAGGGAGGCAGGTGAACCCAGCAAGCCAATTCTCTGCAGAAAATTGGGGAGAGGGATGTCAGGGAGCACAGCAGCTTGTCTCAGAGAACCTCTCTGATCTGATGCACAGCCCCACACCCAGAGGTAAAATCTCCTTCCCTGCACTCCTGGACTCCCATGAGCCCACTCCCCTCCCCACATTACTGGCCCAACCCTTACATAAGCCCAGCCCCCTCCTGTACTTCCAAGAATGTCAACTTCCAAGACATGCTCATCCTCCTCCTCCTCCCCACACTCTACAAGTCCTTCAACCTTTGGTTTACAGAACTGATGACTCCATCTAAGCCAGCAGTAATAATAGCTGCCCAGGTCTCTAAGGAAGAGGAAGCCTGAGTTTGGCAACTCTCCATCCACCTCCCCAAAGCCCAGCCTCATCCACAGCCTTCCATGTAAGGCCTGAGCCTTTCTATTCCCATTTGTTAGGGCCCCACCCAGAAATACCCTAGCACACACACACACCCTGTCTTAGATAACCCTGCTTTCTGACAAGGAGGGGAGGGAAACTGAAACCGCCTGAGGGAGGAGCTTCACTCCGCCCTCACAATTCCCCACCTAGACCCCCACATTCCTCTCCTAGGAGAGACAGGCCAGGTAACCAGCCACCTGACCCCTTTGCCTCTGCCCACAGTGCACAGACAGGGGTCTGAAAATACACCCAAGGGCACTTGTGGAGCCTGCGAGGAGGTTTTCAGGCTTTGGGGCTGGGGCAGGGCAGGGATTTTCAGGCCACTTCTGACTCTGCTGAGAAGACTCAGGTCCTCACACACCTGGTCTGGAAGCTTCTTTAGGAAGCCGCCCTGAAGCAGGGTATGGATTGAGGTTCCTTTTGAAAAACTAAGGAGGAAAAGTACAAGCTGGTTCCAGATAGATAAAAACTGAGGGGTGCTCCCTTTCTGCTTCCCCCCACAAGACAGGGCTATCACACAGACAGGGAAGGGGATCCCTTCCACGAAGTGCTGGTCCCTGGGATAATGCCCGCATCCTTCTCAGGAAATAGACTGCAATATGTTAAGCATAAACCTTGATTGCCGAAGCCAAAAAAGAAAGGGGGGGGGGGGACCTGCAACCACCAATCTCATTTCCACATTCCCTCTCTCCATCCTAGACACATCAATAATTAACTTGCCTACACAGGAGCTTGCCGGCGTTGCCATAAAAGATGAGTAATAGCACCGGGGCCCCAGCCACATTTCCGCGGGCTTCGGGGCTTGGAGCTGGGACCCGCGCCTGGAACAAAGCCTCCGCATTCCTCCGGGAAGGTGTGTCTGAAACCAGAGCTGTCACTGGCGAGAAACTGACCCTTTACCTCTTCCTCAGCCCGCGAGTGTGGGTGGAGAGGCTCCCAGGGGAGGGGACAGGAGCCCCAATGCGCCAGGTGGAACCCTTGGCGAGGTCGCCTTTGCTCACAACAAGCCCCCCCATGCCCACCCCTCCCACCCTGTCCAGCTGCTGTCCCTGTAGCTCGTACGCCTCAGGGGCCGCAGGGCCCCCAACCCCAGCCCATTTCGGGAACCAGCGCTGTCTGCTGCGAGATAATGTTACCATGAACGCATGCTGTACTTGGAGACCCGATTCTTAAAACAACAAGGCAGCTCCCTCGGCGCCCTTCCCGATGAGTAACCCGAAGCCATCCGCTGGCTCAATGAATCCTCCCACAGAAAGTCCAGTGGCCGGCTACGGCTCCCTCCACGCCAGCGCTCAGACACAAAGCACCCCCAAAAGCTGCCTGAGCACCCTGTGCCCTGCCCGCCCGCCAGCCCGCAGACCCCCGAAAGTTGCAACGCGCGCACACACCTGCAGGCCCCCCTTGGCGGCCCCAGCCACCGCCCCAGGGCAGCGGGGCATGCGTCCCGGGGCGGGCAGCTCCACGGCTCCATGCGCCGGCTCCGTGAGACCGGGCTGGGCACCGGTCAGTGGTGCTGGGCGGCAGAGAGCGCCAGGGCCTTAGCGCGCCCACGGCACATTGCGCGCCCTCCTCGTCCTAGCCCGGGCCTTTCCGAAGAGCCCACACCCACTTGACATCAGCGCGGAGCAAAGCACGTGGCGCAGCGCCAGACAGCGGACCCCGGCGGTCCAGAGCGCGCGCCAGGTGCTGCCGCTCGGCCAGCACCGGGCGCTGGAGCGCAGCACATTCCTCTCCTCGCAGACGATGCTGCAAGCGGGAGGCGGTAGGGAGACGGAGGAGGGGGAGGGGGAGGGAAACCGGCTAAGGGGCAGGACCTGCGGCCTCAGACTGCGCTGCTCTGGCGCCCAGCCAGCCACCAGCAGACTTTTCATCCGTTGCCGCAAGTGCCCATTGACTGTGAAGACCAGCCTGCCCATGAGCCAGGTTGCTGTCCTCTCCCCTCCAAAGAGCCCCCCAAGAGCCCTGACCTTGAATTCTCTTCCCCAGAATGATTAAAGGAGGGTTCTCTCTAGCAACCCCTACTAAATTGCCCGAGCTGATTCTGACAAGCCAGGAATGAATACTTGGTTGGCTGTGGTTGCTGACCCCATCGTCCCGTCCGGGAGACCGCTATCAGGCACCCAGCCAAGCGGACGATACCCTCTGGATCAGCTGGTCTCTTTCTCTCTTCCCTCAATGCCCTTGGCAATAAGGGACGGCTCTCCTGGTTCTGCAGGCAATCAGAAACAGCACCGCCCAGCAGCCCACACACACTTCTAATTCATTCATTAGCATCCATCCAAATATTCAAACATTCAAACATTTATTAAGGCTTAGTACGTGCCAGGAGCAAGAGAAAGAAGATAAAGTTCCTACACTCATAGAGCTTATAGTCTAGTCAGGGAGAGACATGTTAAGTACAGAACAAAGTAATTACAATTGTTGCAAGGGTATTGAAGAGGAGCTATAAGAATGCCCAAGGGAGCCCTAAATTGTCTCGGCAGTCAAGAAAGGCTTCCCTGAGGAAGTGACACTTGACTGCTGAGGTATGAAGATGAGACATCCAGGGCCCGGGAAGTGCAGGCACAGACACTGTTTGGTAAAGTGTAAACTTGCTCCCACTCACAGGTGGAGATGATTATGCAGAGGAGAACTGCCATGCCAGGACACCTGGGCTTTTGTGTAGGTGGGGCATAGGGAGGCTCACAGGCCCTAGAAGAAATCCTGGCTGTCAGTCCAAAGAGGCCCTTATGTCTGTTTTCTTACCACCACCTAATCCAAAGGTAGTCAGGAATCTGCACTTCTGGCTTCAACTCCATCATCAATTTGCTGGGTGGCCATACAGAAATCCCTTCCACTCTCTAGTTTCAGTGTCTCTATCCAAATTGAGAGTCTAGATTATGACAGTGGCTTTCCATATATTTTTTAAAAACCCACATTCGCTTCTGGATAAATATACAAATGTCATTCTATTAGGTACCTTCTATGATGACAATACCAAACTATCTTCCAAATCAAAAATTATAATATTGAATATGCTTTTTAAGAATGCACATGCATCCTTGGGTGAAGGAATAGGTAAAAGAAAAAAAAATAAAAAAAAAAGAATGCACATGCCCTTTAAGTATTAAGCAATATTCTGTCTTTAGATGAGTATGGCTGAGGATGGCTTGGATGCAGGAGTAAAGAAATAGCCTCCAAGCTCACCCTTCTGTTATTGGTCCCAACCTTCCCACATAAACCCAGTCCCCATTACTTATCATCTCTAGCTTTGTTTCTTTTATTCTTTCCAAGATAAATTGGCAAGGCAATGAAGAGAAGCTCTGGGTCATCAAAAAAAAAAAAAACAACAACAAAAAAAAACAGGCATGCTATGGAAGACTCCTTTGAATGATAATTTCCAGTAATGCTGAGAAATAGGCACTTTGAAAGAAGCATACAATGTTCCTGGGGACAATTTGGCAATATGGATTAAAAGCCTTAAAAATGTTCACATTCTATGAACCATCAATTCCACATCTAAGAATTTATCCACATGACTTAATTGTGGATGAGCACAAAGATTCATCCACAAGGATATTCATTTCACCATTTCTGTAACAGCAAATAAATGGAAATGACCTAAACGTACAACAGGAAATTGGTTAATAAACTATGGTACATCCTTACAATGGAATATATGCAACTTAAAAATGATATATAAATATAAAATATTTACTACTGAATAAAACAAAAGGCTACAAAGCAAATGATCCTAATTGTGTGTATGTGTGCTTGAGTATGTTGTGGGGGTGGGGTTGGTAAGCACATATGTTCATTTTTCTTACTGGTTGCTTCAGAACCTACCACCTGAAGCAAAACATAATGCCACTATGTTATATCATCCTCATAACAAATCCATTAACCGATATTAAAGTTATAGAACCTTCATATTAAAACAGGATGGAATCAACCTTACAGGCAACCAGGAACACAGTTCAATTTTCCAACACCATCCACTCACCATTAGGGATTTGACAGTAATCTTAAAGGTAGAATGTTTTTGCCCCCAGACTTTTCATTTCATATAGATTTTTGTTGTTCTTTCCTTGAATCTAACTTTAGTGTGCATAAAAATAACTGTCCATGGTGATTTAGGGTATGTTTGACTTCATGAGATTTTTTTTTTAACCATGCACTCTGACTTTAGAACCTAATCATTATATGAAAGTTCAGTAAAAAAATGACTGCCAGAAGGATATTTACTAAAATGTTAACAATGTCAGAATTATAGTTGATTTTTATTTCCTTTCTTGGGATTTTCTATGTTTTCCAAGTTGTCTGACAATAAACATACATTACTTTGCTAATCAGAACATAAAATGCTGCTTAAAAATAACAGGGTTAAAAACCCTCCAAAAGATAAAGTAAAAAGAAACTATTCCTGGGTTTTAAAAGGGGTGACTCTGACCATGCCCTTCATATTCTTCCCCTCCGCAAGCTCTGACAGAGCCACAGTTGGTGCCCCAACACCCAAGGACAGATAGTACATCGTCGCTAGGATACCATGCAGGAAAAACTGGCAAGAAAATTATTTTTACATTTACCTCCTGGGCTGTGCTTATAACGATGCCCAGAAGCTTAAACTACAGGTTCCAAAATGAAGCAGCCTCAACCATCAGCTAATGGATCTATCCCCTACTTCCAAAACTCCCTACCAAATATTCAGGGTTCTTAATAAGCTGTGGGCACACAAAGCATATACCCTTGGTCCTATGGACTCAAAACTGTTCATCCTGCTTTTCCCACACCCAGTATGCCACCAAGCACACAGGCGAGAACCAGCTGAGTAACAGCAAGCCATAAATTAGACTGGACTCAGTGATAACTGGTTGGATAGTCTCTGTCTCCGCTTCCCCTTAGTAAATAGCCTCACAAAGGTTCTACTTTACTTTTAGGGCCATGGATGTAAAAGCACTTAAACAAAGTGTACTGCACCACCCCAGTGTAGGGAATTATTACTTAATAAAAATACATGCCGGGACTTTTTGGGGGAGAAGGGAGCTGGCTAGTTGTAGGTCCTTTAGCACAAGGCTCTTAAACTACAATTTGTCTCACAATTTTGGGCTCTCCAAAAATCTAGAGTGCTCACAATCAGAGGCAATAGCAGAGATAGGAAAGATAACTCTGCCGATTTTCTCTTGTGGCATAACTCAGGAACTCTTAAGTCAAGGACAGAAGGTAAGTAGGATTAAACCTCCAAGCTAGGGACCCAGGTTTCTCAAAACACAATAGGCAGCCAGGCATGGTGATGTGCACCTGTAGTCCCAGCTACTCAGGAGGGTAGGGTAGATAGAAGGATCAGTTGAGCCCAGGAGTTCCAGTCCAGCCCGGGCAACACAGTCAGACCCCATCTTTGAAAAGAAAACACACACACACACACACACACACACACACACACACACACACACGGCAAAAAAACACCAGGGCAGGATCTAAAGATGAGAGATGTTTGTATTATTGGACCATTTTAATTCAATAATCATTTAATCCCCTACCAGTCATTGAAAATAGTCATACTCTGTGCTCAAAATAAAATGCACGACTTCCAAGCCAGAGAGAGCTGCCATTATGTTACATTTTAAATCTATCTAGAGTCTAATCAAGCTAACTTTGCTGTTATTGTGTCTATTAAAAAATGGGGCCTGGCTGGGCACGGTGTCTCATGCCTGTAATCCTAATACTCTGGGAGGCAGAGGCAGGCGGATTGCTCGAGGTCAGGAGTTTGAAACCAGCCTGAGCAAGAGTGAGACCCCCGTCTCTACTATAAATAGAAAGAAATTAATTGGCCAACTAATATATATAGAAAAAATTAGCCGAGCATGGTGGCGCATGCCTGTAGTCCCAGCCACTCAGGAGGCTGAGGCAGTAGGATTGCTTGAGCTCAGGAGTTTGAGGTTGCTGTGAGCTAGGCTGACGCAATGGCAGTCACTCAAGCCTGGGCAACAAAGCGAGACTCTGTCTCAAAAATAAATAAATAAATAAATAAATAATTTAAAAAATGGGGCCTGGGCGAGGTGGCTCACACCTGTAATCCTAGCATTTTAGAAGACTCAGGTGAGAGGTATGCTAGAGGCCAGGACCTTTGAGACCCACTTGAGCAACATAGCAAGACCTTGTCTCTACAAAAAATAAAAAAATTAGCTGGGCATAGTGATGCACACCTGTAGTCCCAGTTGCTTGGGAAGCTGAGGCAGGAGGATCGCTTGAGCCCAGGAGTTTGAGGTTACAGTGAGCCATGATGATTCCATTTTACCCTGGGCAACAGAGTGAGACTTTGTCTCAAAAACAAAAACATGAGGCCTCTGTTTAGAGAGTGAACAGAGGGGAGGAAAGCACAAACATTAAGGGCTGGTAATTTTGATTATTCCAGAATTGTTTCTGAGAAGGAAGTAATAAAAACAAACCTGAATTTCAAAAATAACTTTAATAGGACCAAATGTATCAGAAGGTCCACCCCCTCAAGAGCTGACCAGCCCTCCACAACCAGGCAACAGCTCAGGGACAGAAATGAGGCATCCTGCCTCATCTAAGCTGGAAACACTGAACACACTGATCGATCGAGGAAGCCAATTTGGGCCTGGGACTTGGGACCTACAGGTCATTAAGGTGGGAAAAAAGACTACTTGCTCCATGGTCAGAGGCCAAAAGCCACCCAAATAAGAGTTTTATTAAAATGAATAATTAATAATTAAATACATAGCTTTACAGATTTTTTTAAAAATCAAAGAACAAAAACCAAATCACAAAACACCTAATTAGTCAAAACACATATATGATCAATGATCATCATACTTCCATTTTAACAAGGTTAACCCCAGGTTAGAAATGCAAATTCCAGGGGCTCACCCCTAGAGAATCTAATGCCAAAAGTTTAGAGTGAGCCCAGGAATCTGCATTTGAGCAAACACCTCAGGTGATTTGGCTGCTTATGACCTAGAGCCCATACTTAAGAGAAATTCTAAGCTAAGAGGCCAAGAAGGCGTAACACACCTGTCTAATCTTACCTTCTAGCAGGAGTCACCTAAGTAGGCTTGAATTAATCCATAACTGAAGCTGAATGGAATCCAGTTGATACCTCTTGTGAAACCTCACCAAAATTACACAACTAGGGCATGATGAAGAATGCCAGAGAGAGGAAAATACAAGTAAAGGAAGCACCTGTTATTTAGGAAATTCTATAAAACTGTTAATTTTTAAAAGGATGAGGATGGTGTACTTTGGGCACCTGTCTAGTCTCATCTTTTACTCATAACTTTTTTCTTCCCTGAACCATTATTTCCTCAACTCTAAAATGGCATTAAAAATACCTACCCCTGTAGTATTTTTATGAAGATTAAATAACAGAATTGAGTAAGTGCAAGGGACACAGTAGGTACTAAATGGTGGCTATCATTATTCATTCAATTGATACACATTTTTAGGGCCTTCTACAAATCAATTATTATGGGCACAGGAGATACAATGGTGACAAAAGAGACAGGGAGAGAAATACATACAATAAATAAGTAAACAAATTATTTCAGATATTGATGTGCACTATGAAGAAAAGGAAACAGTGATATGTGCGGCTCAGGGTATGTTATCAGGAAAGGCCTCTCCAAGACGTGGCGTCTAAGCTGAGACTAGAGGATGAGCATTCCAGCCAGAGAACAGATGGGAATAAACTGTTCCTGGGAAGAAGGAAGGACAGTGAGGCTGGAACTCAGTGACTAGAGGGGAGAGTAGGAAATGATGAAGTGAGGAGTCAGGTTAGCAGAAGTTACACTGGACCACGTAATACCCGATAGGAATTCGGATGCTCTTCTAAAGACAACAGGATGCCATGGAAGGAAGGGCTTAAAAGAAAAGAGGCATGATCTGGTTTGCTTTTCAAAAAGATTTCTGTAGTTTCTACGTGGAGAATGGCCTGGGGATTAGAGACAATAAATAAAAACCTAATATTTATTCAGTGCTTAGCTGTGTGCTCTGAACTGTCCTCAGAACTTTATATGTATGCTCTCCTTTAATCCTCATGAAAACTTTTTGATATGAGTACTATTATTATTCCGATTTTATAGATGACAAAGCCCAGGCATAAAGAGATCAGGTAACTTGCCCATCGCAGTGAGTGGAGGATCCAGCAGGCAAAGCCAGTCTAACTGCAGTGCCATGGCAATGCCTTTGGAAAGAAGTGGGGACAAGCAGGGACAGAGACTACTCCAGCAGTACAGGCAGGAGAGGGTGGTGGCTGGGCCAAATGGCAACAGGGAAAAATGCTGACAGGGATTCAGCTTTGCAAAATGTCTTGGTGGTAGAGCCAACAGGACTTACTGATGTGATTTATGATGGGTGACGGAAGGAGAAAAACAAAGATGACTTCCAGGTTTGGGGTTTGAGCAACTGAGTGGATGCCAGTGCTATTTCCTGAGATGGTTAAGCCTGGAGAAGAACAAATCAAGGGGAGGGGAGGCGTTAAAATTAACCAAGAACTCTGTTTTGGACATGTTAGCTTGCTGTGTCCATTAAATGTCTAAGTGGAGACATCACGAAGGCAGTGAGCTGTGGTGATCTCCATTCAGGGGAGGGGTCAGGAGTGGAATCGGCGGCACCCCATCATCCTGTGACTCCTTACTGGGTGTATGGGGAGGGGAGCTCTCTCAGCTACAGACCTCCAGTTGATTGTAACAAGCAAGAGCAAAGCCACATCTCAGCATAAGATTATAACTCGCTCTGAGGCTAAAAGCGCCCTGCCCAGCCCACTCTCTGTGATCCAGCAAAGTCTGCATCCCAGCCCCATCCTCTGAACCAGCTTCCTGGGAGCCTAAGCAGCATTCTTTTAGGATGACCTTCAAACACCAGGTCTCCAGAAGGCAGCATGAAGCACTCCAGCCCTGGAGGAAAGGATGGAAACAGGAGCCACAGAAGAAAGGTTATCGTGCATCCTGCCGGTTGTGAGAAAGGATTCCTGCACCCCTTTTCCACTTCAACACTCCTTTTTTTGGGCCTCCTATCAGTGCAACCCATCCGAGTGTGAGGCTCTGGAGCCACTTGCAAGGGCCTGAGTGCCATGATAATGAAAGGGTTTCCAAAATAAGCCTCCCACATCCAGGCTTCCCAAATGCCCAGGTTACAGCATTTCCAGAAAAATACCAACCTCGCTTGATAAAATACTTTCGGTATTGACACCTCCCTGGCTCAGAGGAAGTGGGTGTGTGCTAGAGGTCAGGTAGAGGTTGGAAGGAAAAAAAAAAAAAAAAGCAATTCTTAAAGTTCAGCTGAAATGTCAGGAACATGAAGCAGCCCATGTTTACACAGAGCTTTCCAAAACCGAGAGTAGCTTCCAAGTAGCTTCAAAAGAAATGGCTACATCGACTTGTCCAATGAAATGGCTTTTTAGCTTAACAGAAATAGTATCAGACTGTTCTCATCCTCCTTGTCTCCTTAGGCTTAATCTCCTAATATATACTCTTGCTGGTCCTGATTATTTTATTTTTTATCCATATTTTATCCCTTTCCCATAAGCTGCGTCAAATCTACCACGGAACAGAATAAAGCAATAAATGAATGGACAAATAGTGCACAGTCTTGACATTCCTGGATATTAAACTTTCAGATCCATGTAATCAATAAAGGTTGCTTAATGTGAATATTAACTGGGGGTGAAAGGGAAGAAATACCCTAATTAACATGTAAGATACTTTAAAAATTTGATCTTTCTATGTAAAAAAAAAGAGTCTGGTTATAATTAGCACCTGTATTGTTCATGTTTTTCTGTCCCTAATTGCCTAAACAATAATTTATGGGGAAAGTGGGTGAAATTCTATGTACTACATGTGTAAGGGTGATTTTGTGGCTCTTAACCATTCAAACCAGAAACAACAGGATGCCGGTTCAATAACTGTGCTACTTCATCTTCCAAATAAGACTTGTCAAAGCCACCGCAGGGAAATCAGAATAAGACTCAATCTAAACCTATCCACAAACAAAGCTGGAATCTGTCAGTCCTTTCCTGGTGTGTGGAGGTAAAAGCAGATCAATGCCCACTGCTATTCTCTGGCGTCCTTCTAAATGCAGAAACAAGTTTTAGAAGATGAAATACTCAGCAGCCTGGGAGCACAACTTTAGAAACATAAAAATTATTAGGTTTTCTGAATCACCGCCATGAGCTAAAATCCTTACTGAGACTAGTGGGCCAAAGATAGAAACCAAAAGCCTCGTCACATTTACAAACATCACCCTAAGTGCCTTCTTCAGGGATACTCTCTAGCACACACCCGAATATAGCAATTATTCAGATGCCTAAGTGCAAGCAGCACATGTTTTT